CAGTATGATGGATGCTATCTACATTGCATATCGCCCGATAGTAAATAACCCAATTCGAATTGCTAGCTAGGTATATCGGGTAGTATATTGAGTTAGCTAGCTAGTTCGCCCGATAGCCGATATTTTTTTTCTCCTTGGGTAGCTTCAGCTTCTTCCGCAATTTTAAGAAATTCTTCTGATGTTTTTGGATTTTTCTCTATTATTTTTTTCCTTAAACTTGGTCTTAAACTAGGAGTAAGAAATGTTAATTTCGTTTTATCGCTCATGTCTGGATCAATTTGATCACACAATTGCATGAATCAAAATAGCATTGTTCAACTGATTGATTTATTGTTTGATGATAGTCTTTAATTTTGTGATAAGCTAATGATTGATCGAATCGGGATGTATATTTATTTATTATGGCCGATTTAAAATCTTTCCACGTTGTAATATTATCTGAAACGTTTTCGAACCATTGTAAGGCATCACTTTTCAATAGTTGTGGAATAACAGCGACTTTTTGATCATTTGCTCAATTAATTCTTTTAAACTGTAATTCGAAATCTTTCATCCATACTACTATATTTTGTGATTTTCCGGCAAATGATTTTTGATTTTTAAAAGAATTATTCCAGATAACTTTTTGAGAAGCAAAGCTTTTAGCTTGTGATGGAGATTCACGATGACCAGATAGTGGTAACGATAATATAGGATTAACTGGCTGAATAGAAGAAACAAATTTTTGACAAAATAATTTTGTAAATTCACCAAAAGATGTAATATCATCTTCTACTTCTTGATACCAAATAAAGCGTTTTCTTGCAACAAAATCCTGTCAGATCTCGTAGGGAAAATTTGTGTGTTTTGTGGATATGTTGACTTATTCATGAATATGTCAAAATATCCGGCGATGTTGCTTACCTTTACGCAGGATTCTTTCCATGCTAACCCTGCATAAACTATGCAGGATCCCGTCACGATCGGCAGTATAAAAATCCTGCGTAAAGGTAAGAAACGTCCCCAGATATTTTAATATCGAAAACTCCCTGGATCCTGCGCAAAGTCCTGCAGAATCATGTAGGAACATAATTTATTATGCTCAATATAGCCAACCTGGTTAAAACCTTTTTTTCACATTAGCAGCTTTGTTTGTGAGAGGCCAAAGCGAACTAATGAAACTAATCTGGAACCTTGATCAATGCAAGACATTTTATTTTCCTATCAATGCGTCTTTCATGATGATTTTTGGGGTTTGCTTGAAACAAAAACTTTTACAAGTTGCTGGCCCAAGTACTCACAAAAAGCTTTCTTTTTCTAGCTGGAGCTAAAAGTAATATTTTTTCTTCAGTGCGGTTCTGGAGTCTGATCTTCGATAAATTACATTTTCTTTCATATAATGTATGTCATCTAATCTTTAGCATAACACAACTTCTTTGAAATTTTGAGGTCAAACGACAATCAACATCCTCACAACAACCACATCCAAAATAAAAAGTACTTGTTACACTCGTTCATGGAATACAACAGGAATAACTGTAGCTGGTTCTACAACCGGCACTGGTGGTTATATATTAAATCAATTACTTGCTCCATTTGATTTAGTTATTGATAGTTCATTTAATATTTATATTAGTGATCGTATAAATCATAGAATCGTTAAATGGCAACAAAATGCAACAACAGGACAACTGTTTGCTGGCGACGGTACAGCGGGTAAATTATCAAGTCAATTAATCGACCAGCTGGCTTATATCTTGACCAAATCAATCAAATTTTACAGGAAGACATTCATCTAGGGTATCCGATGTTAATAAAAATTGATTCTGTATCTCATGCTTTCTCTGCTCATTTAAGTTCAATATATATAACATTCCTCTTCCTTACAGCTGTAACATGGAAAAAGAAAACTTATTTTGACCTCCAAAAGCCATTCTGAATCTCATCCCTCCTCTATCTGATCTGAGTTGAAACTGTTTGTCATTAATGAATGTCTAGTATGTGGCTGATTCAGCTAACCGTCGTATACAAAAATTTTCTTTAAATTCAACAGTGACCCCAGTAAATGGTACAACAGTCATTGGTAATACAAGTCAGTTAACCCGTCCGATAGCTGTGTATTTCGATAATATCAATCAATATTTATATGTTATAGATGTATATACGGGTATAGTGTATTGTTATTTACATCGAATTCAATTCAAGGTATTGTTTTTGCTGGAGGAAATGGAAATGGTTCTTTATTGACACAATTAAATAACCCATTTGATTTGTTTGTTGATCAAAATTCATCAACAATCTATATTGCTGATACATATAATTTTCGTGTTGTTAAATGGTTAAAAAATGCAACAACAGGTGTACTAATCGCCGGTGGTTATGGCCAAGGTGGAAATGCCAGTCAACTTTCTAATCCATCAGGTATTATTGTTGACCAAAATGGTACGATCTATATAGCTGATTATATTAATAGTCGTATACAAGAATGGCCAATAAATGCCACACAAGGAAGAACTATTGCTGGTAGTTCAAATGGTACCCTTGGTTCTACGTCAACTTTACTCTATGGAACGTATAATTTTAGATTTGATTTAAATATGAATCTCTACGTTGTTGATAGTAGGAATAGTCGAATACAAAAATATAATGTTAGTCATAATTCATGTTAGAAAAAACGTTAAATTAATTTGAACACACTACCATAAACTGCGCATTATATATCTATTTTCTTTTGCTGTTGTAAGGTGCCTCTAATTCAAACTTACCATAGAAAAGTTTTTTTTGACAAATGGTTGGGTTAGAGCTCACCATAAAGCTACCATTTTGATACAATAACATAAAAATGCACATGTCTCTACCTCAAATCTCATCGTTTTCGTTTTGTTGTTTATTTGAGATGTACGTAACGAATTTATGTCATCTCGATTTATACGGCAATTACGAATTTAACGATTAGATACAAATTTAAAAATGTTTATAAAGTATTCGCTCAAGAAAGAAAAAGATTACACTGGTTTAAATAAGTAATTGTGATTTGGTATAATCTTTAATGAAAAGGTTCTCGCTCTAACTATTTGAATTGTCGTTTAGATTATTCTGGCTTAAAGTCCGAGCTCATCTTTCTCTTTAATCCATCCACTCCCGTTAACATGGTTTTTGATCAAGTTTTCTGGAAGAACTACGAGAGGAACAGTAACCTAAAAGTGATGCTGTTCTACGAAAAAACGTTCGTACAGACAAACAGATATGCAGTAGATGTGTACATATGTTAGAGCTTTAATCGAGTCACAAATGCTTTACCCGACTAGACGTGTCAACCAATAAGCCGTCGCTGATAGTTTTTAAGAAGTCGAAAGTGGTCCTAAAGGGGGAGGAAATCCTACAACCGCCGCCATCGATGAAAAAGCTTGAGAAGTTTCATAGTTGCTTTTTGTTGAAAAATTGCACAAAAGAAAACAAAAAATCGTTCAGTGACCAACAAAGGCGCACAGATATTGAGATTCTTCCAGCTGCCGCTCCGATCGGAAAAATGCTTTAGCCAGCCGTCGCCGACCAAACAATCGACTGACACCTCTACACCCGATCCGATCCTAAATTCTCAACAAATTTTCGAATGTTGATTCAAATTACTCGAAAATTTTCCATTTCGCACTCAATTTGACTCGAAATACTATCGTCGCCAAAATATAATATCCGTGGCTATTTTTGAATAACGTTTGATAAGAATAAAATAGAGACCTGCGGTTTTCACCATTGTGTTACTAAGATCTTGAGACATGTTTTTGTAAGCAGAAACTTGTTTCAAAATTTTCTGAGGCTTTCTAGAGGATCTTTGGAAAACCAGCTCCGTTCTCAGAAAACTAACATACAAAGTTAGTAATTTTTTTGCACGCATAAGTAGTCCGGACGGTACTCTACAAAACTATGCAAGTTCCAGGTCTCCAGCTATCATCGTTCGGACATAGCTCGCTTTCCCCGAGCTCGTGTCTATCTCCAAGCAGATGATATAAGCTATTTATTTGAAAAAGAAAGAAATCAGCAATTTTTATAGTGTCGAGTAGTAGTGCCACCGAAAGAGAGACAAGCCCCATTATTATCGGCGATAGAGAAAACAAGAGCACGCATATTATGACAACAACAGAAAAATCTAGTAAAAGAAGAAAGTAGAAAGAAGAAAACAAGATAGTAGATGGAGAAAAAAAATGTTCATACACGTTTAGTAAAATACATATATATTCCCACATTGTTGTTTGATGATAAACATAGTGATTTAATATAAAAAAAAAAACGAAATGAAAATAGTACTAATCGAGGTCTGTTTCGAGATCAGAGAGCGAGAGAGAGGGAGGAAAGAACAAGGAAAAGAGAAAGATAAACATACTATTGTTCTTCTGAAAAACGTTTTGAAGTACAAATATACTCTATAACTGCATGATATATACATAAAAAGCATCTCCAAGTAGATATCTCTGGGAATCTCAAAATGCCATGGAACATAGGTAATCGATCACGCTGAGCATCATGGCAACATTTGTTTTTGTGTAGAAATGAAAGTAACTTCACCAGAGGCATTTTTGTGAAAAACCGGTTTTTTGCCTGTCACCATCCAAAATTAAAATCCTTATATCTCGGTCAAATCTCATGCTGACTCAACGAAATTTCTAGGAAAGGCTTAAAAGGTGTCATATATTGTTGATCAAGCCGACAAAGGGGTCCAGCACAACACCGAGGCGTTGAGGTTTTTCAGAAGGTTGCTGGAAAACCTTAACCCAATATTTGGCTGAAATTCAACTTTTTCATCTCTGATCATGATTTTTGAGCTGTCTTGAGCGTTTCCTCAAAATTTCATTGAGTCAGCATGAGATTTGACCGAGATATAAGGGTTTTAATTTTGGCTGGTGACAGGCGAAAAACCGGTTTTTCACAAAAATGCCTCTGGTGAAGTTACTTTCATTTCTACACAAAAACAAATGTTGCCATGATGCTCAGCGTGATCGATTACCTATGTTTCATGGCATTTTGAGATTTCCAGAG